GGGATGGGGCTGGTGATGAGCAGTTTGAGGTGCAGGAGGAGGCTCCAGGATGGGGCAGGGGTTGGGGTGCAGGGGGGTGAGGGCTCCTGCTGGGGGTGTGGGGCTGGGGATGAGGGGTTTGGGATGCAGGAGGGGACTGGGGCAGAGGGTTGGTGTGTTCAGGGGGGTGCAAGCTCCAGGAGGGAGTTTTGTTGTGGGAGGGGACACTGGGCTGGGGCAGGGGGCTGGGGTGCAGGGGGGTGAGGGCTCCCACTGGGGGTGTGGGCTCTGGGGTGGGGCCAGGGATGAGGGGTTTGGGATGCAGGAGGGGACTGGGGCAGGGGGTTGGGGTGTTGAGGGGGGTGCAAGCTCCAGGAGGGAGTTTGGTTGTGGGAGGGGGCTCTGGGCTGGGGCAGGAGGTTGGGGTGCGGGAGAGGGTTCAGAGTGTGGGGTCCCAGCAGTACTTACCGCGGCTCCTGGGAATTGGCCGCCAAGAACCTGTAGCCCCTAGATGCATAGACAGCCAGGGAGGCTCCATGCGCTGCCCTCGCGCCCATAGGCGCCGCTCCCACAGCTCGCATTGGTCGTGTTTCCCAGCGAATGGGAGCTGCGGAGCCGGCCCTGGGGCCCCCACTGTGCCGCTGACCAGATTTTTAACGGCCGACCAGAGCTGCCAGGGTCTCTTTTTAATTGCAACTCTACCCAGGTCAGCTGACTCAGGTGCACAGGGCTCGGGCTGCAGCGCTAAAAATTGCAGTGTAGATGTTCAAGCTTAGGCTGGAGCACGGGCTCTGAAACCCTGTAACCCACAGACAGCAACCAGAAGGGAGAATACAGCCCAACTGCCAAACTTTAAAACTGCTGTGATTGTGGATTATTTTGTACCTCTTACTGTGTGGTTATGCAGGAGGAGAACATAGGTTCCAATATAATTTGTATGAGCCTCCCAGAAAATCACAGTTCCCGGCTGTGGCATCTTTTCCCTTGGAATGTACATTGACACTAAAGAAAGATGGTCAGTGGGAGCTATTTAAAGAACACAGTGTGCTTCAATACCCCAGATGCTGGCTGACTCTGTTAGCTTTGATTTAATTGGTGTTGAATAAATATAAATGCAGTGTGAGTCCATTGTGGCATATGATCTTGCAGCTGAGAGGGCTGACAGTCTTTGCTGGATGGGGGAAGGATGGATGGAGCGGGTACTAATGTTTGGTGCATCTAGTGTCTCATTCCCAAAGGTTAAGAGCCTAATCCCTTCTGTCACTGAGTATTTTCTTTCTGTGCAACACCATGAGTGAAACACAAAAAAATGTTACAGGGAAGCATTTTGCATAGAAGATGTTGTATAACCCAAAAGATGCACGAGGTCCTTCCAGTTGCACCTAAGTAAAGCTCTGTTGTGCGTGCACGTTAGCTTTGCAACTGCCTCTGTCCTTCAGTTGCACCGATGGAAGGATGTGAGTAATACTCAAGTTGCTCTAATTTATGGCAGAGGATTGGCCCTCCATGCAGCAGGGGCTCAGGACTACATAGTGCAAAGGTGAGCTTTGTATCATCTTTGCAATTGCTTTCCCCCCCTCCAGCTCACCTCCTCCTCCCTAAAAAAATCTCATTGGATGCTCCTTGCCCATAGCCAAAGATCTGGCCCCTCTACCAAAAGATCCAGCTGAGTTTTCTTATAGACTGGGATTGTCAAAGGAAACTGAAATTCAATGGGACCCATTTACCTAATTCCCTTAGTCTCCTTTGAAAATCCCAGGTTCCACTGTTACTTTCTGGAACTCCAGCAGATTATTACTCTAACTCCTCCTAGATCAGATGATTCTCCTCATACATCTGCACACACAGCTGATTAAACCCTAAATTCTATACTAAAAGTATATTAAAACCTCAGAGTTACAAACTGACCAATCAACCACACACCTCATTTGGAACCAGAAACACACAATCAGGCAGCAGCAGAGACCAAAAAAAAAAAAAGGGGGGGGGGCGGGAATACAGTACACTACTGTGTTAAATGTAAACTACTAAAATAATAAAGGGAAAGCAGCATTTTTCTTCTTCATAGTAAAGTTTCAAAGCTGTATTAAGTCAGTGTTCAGTTGTAAACTTTTGAAAGAACGGCCATAATGTTTTGTTCAGAGTTACAAACATTTCAGAAAGAAAAGGAGTACTTGTGGCACCTTAGAGACTAACCAATTTATTTGAGCATGAGCTTTCGTGAGCTCTAACACGGCTGTTACTCTGAAACCAAACATTTCAGAATTAGAAACAGCCTCCATTCCCAAAGTGTTTGTAACTCTGAGGTTCTATTGTATTTAAAGGTGCGCTGTCGACTTTGTTTAAATCCATCATTTTAGGTTTTGTTTAACAATAAATTATAAAAATGTAAGGATGTTTTTGTTTTTAAATAAATATTTTTATTGAGGTAATTGCCCTTAATATTTTTTTAACCCCACAAACAACCACATCAAACATAGAATAAAGCATGTATAAATGCATGAAGGTTTTGGGTGTGAGGAGAGGTAGTGCTGGATTAGGGCCAAGGAAGAGGAAGACCTCAGAGTTAGCAGCAAGTTTTCCCTTAAATAAAAGGGACCTAATTCTCATTAACCCTGAGGTCCTGAAAGACGAGAGCAGTGTAAATGAGTGTTGGTGTGAATGAGACTCAGGCCCAGCACCTGGAAAGGTAAGATGAAAAACAGCAGAATGTTCATGACAGGAAGAAGCATGGTTCAATGTCCTGAATGTAAGCCTGGGGGCCAGGGACTTCTGAGTTCTATGCTTCGCTGGAGGCAAACTACTTGACCTCTCTGTCTCCATTTTGTCATCTGTAAGACAGGGATAGGTATGTCATGAGGACAGCTGGTGTGTGAAGGGTGGTGTGAAGTTGTATAGCACTGCAGAAGTGCTGATTATTATTATTGAAATTCACCAATTTGATCCACCCTCTCACTTTTATGTGCAAGCCTAAGCACTGTTGAGTGTCTGCACTGCACACAATCACCAGACTTCCCTCCCTGGGGTATCCAGAATAATCTTTCTAAACAGCTAACTACTTCCGATACATTTCTTGCAGACGCCTAGCAGACAATTTGAGGACATGTGAGTTGCTAAGAGCATATTTTCTCCTATGTGGGGGGAAAAACCCATATAATATATGAGGCAGAAAACACTGATTTTTTTAAAATTCAGATTTCCCTTTTCATTGTTCCATGGGAGAGTGTGGCTTGCTGACCCACCCCATCAGGGAAGAGGCAGGAAGCATAACCTCCCACACCAGTGGATGGTGCAAGATCTATGTAGAACTTGAGAGTGCCATGGTGGCAGAGTGGCTTGCTGGTCATCTTCTCCCCTAGCAGTCTGGCTCCTTCAGGAGTGGCTCTACACCAGCAGCCACAGAGGGTACCATATGGGAGTTATCTCTCCTTAGTTATCTGATTGGCTAACCACAAGGTCAACAGGGAGCCTGCAGCAGAGTTCAAGCTTCCATCCGTCCCTGCCACTAACGCCAGCAATCCAAACACACCTGAGTACTATGAATGTGACTTCTTGTTTGTATGGAGAGCAGCTGAGCTGGAGATGACAGTCGTATACAAAGCTCCAGTGCTAATGTTGATCCCTGAACAGGTATACATTTTCTCCTTATGGACTGAGGTTGCTGTAACAGCATCTTTCTTTGCAAGTGGAATTTAGAAAGCAGAAATAAATTCCAGAAGATCAGGATGTCTTGTGTCCGAAATGTTTAATGAGGAAAAGTGAGGTGCTCACGGAGTAACAAGGACTAATAACGAAGTGCCGTATGTACATTAATTTTAATGTATAAAAATACCTGCTGCGCTTTAGAATGCGGAGCGGAGTGAAGAGTTTGAAGGGATAATGTAAATGGAGCACAAGTCGGGTCACTGACAGAGGTGTTATATTATAAAGGAACTTCTTCCGAGTCATTCTAATTACCCTGTACTCAGCTGGCAGGTAAATCGGTGAAATGGGTCTCATCAGTCTTAACATTTACAGGGCTCACTCTGGAAAGCAACTCCCAGAAATGTGCCTCCCAGGCTGTGATTTCATACCAGCTGCACTCACGCATTTACTGAACAACCTCTTAAAGTGCAGCAGTGGTAGGGTTGAGATTTTTTTTTCACCTCATTTGGGATTAAGAAATCCTAATTGAGAATTCACTAAGTTTCCTGATATGTTGAAAATGACCTGTTCCATTCCATTTGATAGAACATTGCACTGATTGCCAACCAGAAGATAAGGTTTAAGGGCGTCCAATTTTGCACCTTTCCAGCCACCATTTCAGTTCTAACGTCAGAGAGAGTCTTCTCTGCAAGAGGAAGGGCCAATGCTTTCAACCCTTGTCTAGATTAGAGTTTTTGGTCCTATTGTACTCAAATTAATTGACGAGGGTGAACCACCACCAGCAACAAACCTTTCTGTCCAGGAACAAGTTGTTCCTGTATAGTTAATATGAGTTAACTGAGAATCAGTAAATTCTCAAGTTACAACAAGATCAAAAACTCTACTCTACATAAGACCGCAGTGTGCATACAAAGTGGTAGTGTTCCCTAATATTTAGAACTGGAAAGGGTGTCTGTTCCCATTACTGATGTGTGACCCTGGACAATCTCTGTGTACCTCAATTCTTCATCTCTAAAATGGATGTAATATTTACCTACCTCACATTTATGCTGTGAATTTTCACTAATGTGGGTAAAATGTTATGAGATTAAAGATGCTGGGAAACTCTATTTATATTTAAATATTTACATTTAAACTACTCAAGGAAATAACTTGGACATTTTACAGGGAAGAAGATCTTATGTTTAAAACACAGCTGGAGGGATAGATCCAATATCATTAGCACTTACAGTAGCTCTAGATATTAGTTTTCAGAAAACTTTCAAGGACATAGTTATTATTATTTGTATGTTTAGGTCTTTGCTTTCAGGTGTTTCTGTTTAAATAAGGATTATAATACAATATCTTCTCTTTTGTTGTTTGGTTTATCTTTGGAGGCACAGGCTTGCTACAGGAAGTGGTATATCTAGTGAGTCAGGGAGCTGACCCTGATGAGATTGGATTAATGAATATAGATGAACAGCTTCCAGTGCTAGAGTATCCTCAGCCTGGTCTGGACATCATCAAGGTACAGTTGACTTCACTGAAAGTCTTTCCGCATTCAGGTGCTTTTTCTTATCCCCATATTTATTACCATTCCCTCCCATCCCATTTTTTTGTCCTTTTTGTCACTTGACCTGCTCAATTTATTTTAATGATTCAGAATTTTATTGGTTTATTATTTTAAAAAATATTTTATTGTAATGTTTTATTGTACTTCGTTATGTTTTTAAATATGTTACTTGGTGACCTAAATGCCTTTGATGCGGGTGCCCTGAATATAAAAGGCCCAGTTCTTCCCTTTGCTTATGTAAGTAAAGGTGACTCAAATCAGGTAGCTCTGGTTTGTTCCCTAGCTTCTCCTTCCCCTTGCTGGATCTGCATAAAAGTTTCTGCTAGGAGTGGGTGAGAGACAAACACCTGGATGTCTCTACGGTGGTTTGGGGAGTACAGAATATTTTGCACGAAATGCCATCTGCACCTTTGAGAAGTGGTTATGAGGACTAGTGACTTGGGGTTGGTCTGTTAGACAAAGGAAATGCAGTAGACCTAACATACCTGGATTTCAGTAAGGAATTTGATACAGTTCCACATGGAAATTATTAGTTAGATTGGAGAAGATGGGAATTAATTTGGGAATTGAAAGGTAGATAAGGAACTGGTTAAAGAGAAGACTACAACAGGTCATACTGAAAGATGAACTATCAGGCTGGGGGTAGGTTACTAGTTCCTCAGAGATCAGTCTTGGGACCAATCTTATTTAACGTTTTTATTGATGACCTTGGCGCAAAAAGTGGGAATGTGCTAATAGAATTTGCGGATGTTGGGCAATACGAAGCTGGGAGATATTGCCAATACAGAGGAGGCCAGGAATATCATAAAAGAAGATTTGTACTACCTTGAAAACTGGAGTAATAGAAATAGGATGAAACTTAATAGTGCAAAGTGCAAGGTCATGCACTTAGTGACTAACAAAAAGAATTTTTGTTGTAAACTGGGGACTTCTCACTTGGAAGCAGCAGAGAAGGAGAAAGACCTGAGTGTATTGGTTGATTGCAGGATAACTATGAGCTGCCAATGTGATTTGGCCGTGAAAAAGGTTAATGCAGTTCTAGGATGCATCAGGTGAGATATTTCCAGTAGAGATAGGGAAGTGTTATTGCCAATATGTTCAGACTCATCTGGAATACTGACTGAAATTCTGGTCTCCCATGTTTAAGAAAGATTAATTCAAACTGGAACAGGTGCAGAGAAGGATGATCAGAGAAATGGAAAATATACCTTATGAGAGGAGAATCAAAGAGCTTGGCTTGTTTAGCCTAACCAAAAGAAGGTTGGGGGAGATAAAATTGCTCTCTATAAATACATCAGAGGGATAAATACCAGGGAGGGAGAGGAGTTATTTAAGTTAAGTGCCAATGTGGACACAAGAACAAATGGATATAAACTGGCCATCAGCAAGTTTAGACTTGAAATTAGATTAAGGTTTCTCACTATCAAAGGAGTAAAGTTATGGAACAGCCTTCCAAGGGAAACAAAAAACCTAACTGGCTTCAAGACTGAGCATGATAAATTTTATGGAGGGGATGGTATGATGGGACTGTCTACAACAGCATGTAGCCAATCTGCAACTATCTCCAACCGTCGGTGATGGGACAGAAGCTGGTGAGGGCTCTGAGTTACTACAGGGGATTCTTTCCCAGGTGTCTGGCTAATGGGGCTTGCCCAAATGCTCATGATCTAACTGATCACCATATTTGAGGTTGGGAAGGATTTTTCCCCCAGCTCAGATTAGCAGAGTCTCTCGCCAGGGAGAGGGGGGTGTTCACATTCCTCTGCAGCGTGGGGCATGGGTCACTTGCAGGTTTAAACTAGTGTAAATGGCAGATTCTCTGTAACTTGAAGTCTTTAAATCGTGATTTGAGGACTTCAGTAACTCAGTCAGAGCTTATGGGTCTATTGCAGGAGTGGGTAGGCAAGGTTCTGTGGCCTGTAATGTGCAGAAGGTCAGACTACACAATCATGATGGTCCCTTCTGACCTTAAAGTCTAGGGGTCTACGCTTAAAACTTAGGTTAACATAGTTGTGGTGCTCAAGGGTGTGAAAAATTCAATCCACTCAATGCAGTAGCTATGCTGATCTAACCCTCAGTGTAGATGCAGCTAGGTCAACGGAAGAATGCTTCTGTCAACCTAGCTACCATCACTCAGGGAGGTGGAGTTCCTACACCATTAGGGAAACCCCCTTCTATCGCTGTAGTCTCAGTCTGCACTGTGGGGTTACAGTGGCATAGCTGGTGCTGTAGCTACACCATTAGCACCTGTAGTGTAGATGTGGCCTTAGAATGTAAGCTCTTTAGGGCAGGGACCATCTTTTTGTTATGTTTGTACAGCACCTAGCAAAATGGGGTCTTGGTCCATGAACAGGGTTCCTAGGAGCTACCACAATACAAATAATAATAGTGAATGAGCTTAGTGTTAGATTGCATACAGAGAGCTACATTGCAGGTAACACCTCTATAAAATATAAATCCCTATGATTTTAACTGCCAGTAGCTTATTCAAGTAACAATACAGTAACTGTCTCAAAGTTTAAAAAGTTCTGTTTTTAAAATATTGACCCAACACTGATAAATCATTTGATTGAGTGCTTTGCCTGGGCCCAGTTCTGAATGTACTTTAAAGTGCATGAGTGAAATAAAGAAAAATGTTGGTGAAGAAATTTAGGGTGGGATTTGCAAAAGTGCTCCATGTCCAGCTAACTTTGCTCTCATTGACATTAACTTAAATGGCAGCAGAATTAGCCAGACCCAAAATGCTTCAGAAAATCCCACTCCTCATCTTGAAAAATCCGTTGGTAAAAAGAAGGTAAGAGATTTGGAAATGACCAATTGCTGCAAAGTCTCATTATCTTAACTTTTGACGTTTGGAAACAAATGGAAAACCATAATCAAATTCTTCGCCCCGAATCCTCGTTAGTTTGAGCAGTGAGTTTGTGAATGTAAAGCAGTGCAGTAAGGATACTTTACATTTGAAAATTTAGAAAGAAATGCCAGCCAACTTATCTGCAGTGAGAAATGTTTTCTGCTTCCATTTTCTTTTAGGAGCTCACATCTCCTCGCCTCATAAAAAGCCACCTACCATATCGGTTTTTGCCTTCAGACCTCCATAATGGCGATTCCAAGGTAAAAATGAATTGGTGTTTGATTAGCTGTACCACCCACTGGTGCTTGCATGGTTTGTGAAGTGAAGGAAATATGCTTTTAATAACATGAATTGTTTTCACTTTCGTAGGTAATATACATGGCTCGCAACCCCAAAGACCTGGTAGTGTCCTATTACCAGTTTCACCGCTCCCTAAGAACCATGAGCTACAGAGGAACATTTCAAGAATTCTGTCGAAGGTTTATGAATGACAAGTGTAAGGAACTTTTCTCTGTGCATGATGCAATCTATTATCCATTTATTTTTACCTCTGCATTCTATATATTATTATTATAATACTGGTATATGATTATATTTCTGGTGATATTTTAGTTGCTTCATGGGCACTGCCAACTGATTTTTAATGGATGGATTCAGACTGTAGAATTTCTCCATGTAGATGCAAACTGTCATCATGTTATCTAAACAACTGCACAGACTGCAGTATTGGGCACTATGGATTCAGTCCTGCAGCAGCTTACTCAGGCAAAACTCTCAGTGAGGTCAATCAGGGCCTAATCCTGCAATGTGCCAGGTGCCTTGTGGGAATTACCAAGCATCCTCAGCTCCTGTTGATTTCAGTGGATGTTGATGGCACTCATCACCTCTTGGGAGTCACTCTGCTCCTCACAGGATTGGACCAAGCTAAGAGTGAAAGTTTTTGTCATAGTCAAGAAGAAGGGATCAGGCACTATGTGGGAATACCCTTCAGCCTATCTGCAGTGGAGCACACCGTAGCTACATTGTGCTATCGTAAAATTAAGGGTATTATGGAGGTTTTATGCCTTCCTCTGAAATATCTGGTTCTGGCCACTGTAGGAAACAATATACCCAGACAAGATGGACTATTGGCTTGTTTCACGATGGCAGTTTTTATGGGCTTGTCTATACTGCATTGTTAGCTCAAAGTATGACTTGAGTATTGCCCCAAACCTGACTCCCATCCACACACAAAAATCTCTAGCTCCAGGCAGTTAGGGCTAGTCTACACTGGCATCGCTAAAGTGCTGCCACAGCGGCACTTTAACGTGGCTTGTGTGGTCATGCCAGAGTGCTAGGAGAGAGCTCTCCCAGCGCTCTAAAAAACCCACCTCCATGAGGTGCGCAGCTCCCAGCGCTGGGGCACTGTCTACACTGGCGCTTTTCAGCGCTGAAACTTGCTGCGCTCAGGGGGGATGTTTTTTCACACCCCATAATGAGAAAGTTGCAGCGCTGTAAATTGCCAGTGTAGACAAGCCCTGAGTGCTTTAAACTCAAGCTAGTTCAGTTATCTTGCCCCAGGTATGTGATTTAACCCAACATCACAGAGTCAGTAAAACATTATAACACTTTCTATGTTCCTATAACTGTGCAAATGGGGCCTTTTATAGTGTAATACATTTAACTAAGGACCATGTCATGCCCTCAGTTTTTTCCCCTGGGAGGGAATGAAAGGAGAAGAAAACCTGCTCCTTTGGCCAAAGTTTTTCTGGAGGAAGAGGACTGAGCCAACATGACATCATTCTCCCTCCATCCCTCTCCCATCCTGGCCCTGTAGAAACCCCTCCGCACACCTTCTCTTCATGGTGGCTCTTTAGTTTCAGGGCATGGGGATGAAGTCAGAGAACCGCCTCATTCTGTAGCATCATCCCCTGAAGATTTGAGAGGCTTTCCTCATATAAGATAATGGTAACCTGTCAACACTATCTTAAATGCTTGCTGCTCTGTACCATCAAATCCACCCTGCTTGGGTTAGGAGCAGCCGGTATTGAGCTATCCTGTGTGACTTTTTTGCTTCACCAATTTGTAGACCTAATATAAACACATATTTAGAGGCGTGTGAAATAGTCATAACAACAGAGAGAGCTCAAAATGCCAATTTTTCACATACAGTTATATACATTGAAAATGGGTGTGTTTTGCTGGAAAATGACCTGTGTTTTGTGAATTTTCACATGAAAACAGGCCCCTTTGTGAAGTAAAAATGAGCCCATTATTAAATTAAAAATGCGAAGTTCAGAAGTGGAATATTTTCTTATTTTGTATAGCTACTTTGTTGAATTCATGGAAAAACATAATTTGAAAAGAAAATTGCGCATAGTCAGATGACAAGACGTTTTGTGCAAAAAGTGGAAAAATGTTTGCCTGTTTTGCACAAATCCTACTTCTTGATGATTTGAAATACTCATTAGAAATTATGATAGATGACAAACAGATAAATTAACAAATTTTCAGAATGTATTTTTGTCTGGATGGTGTACCCAAATATATTTTCTTCTGATAAAATTTGCAGCAAAAGACATTTTTTTCTCAGATTGTAGGGACCAGTGTCTGATCTTTATTACATTGGTGTACATTGACTGAAGTCAATGGATGTATTCTGGATTTACACCAGTGTAAGTGAGATAAAGTTCTGGGCCTAAGTACTGATATTCTTTTGGATGAGCAGAAGTGCTCCTAGACAATTTAAAAGCAACAGAAACAAGACAGTAAATTTAGATTTTGGGGCACTGGGGAGGGGAAAGATTTAACTGTATGTAGAATTTCCTGGTTACAGATTTTTATTTTTGATTTTCACTTTTGTTTCCAGAACAACATTTGGATGTATAGGGCCATTTCCTCACTACTTTCTTAAGTAAGAAAGAAAATGTTGACCCTAGAAATTGCATTGCACATAGGAATGCAGTGAGGAGGAATCTTTTATCAAATGTGGATAATGGTTTCTAAGACCATCTACACTACTCTCCCTCGAAGCTATGTTCTGCAGAGTGTAGCCAAGCGAAAGGAAAGTGGACTGCAGTGTGACATGTAAACTGCAGGAATGTCCTCTCATTCCCATTCAGTAATATGCATAGTGATTGGGAATCTGCAGGCACATTTTTTCTGCTGGCTCCCTTTCTACTCATGAGCAATGCATCAGTATTCTTGATCTCAAAAGAGTGCTCATCATGCAACACGGTGGCCTTTTGCATTGAATGCAGAGCCATAATAACATGCCTTTAGGGCAAATCAGCTCTCTGTGAAGGTGTTAAGATCTCATCAACACTGATGGAGACTATGCTCTATTTCAGTGATGTTCCTTATTAGGAATAGAAACAGTGCAGAAACAAACAAAATTCCCTTGGAAGTATAAAGTGCTTCAGCCATTCAAAGGTACTTATTTTCCTCAGTTCCTGTTCAAGAGGGACTCATAAGAATATTGATCATATTCCTTGTCAGTTATAATGTTCTCTGTCTCTGCAGTAGGATATGGTTCATGGTTTGAGCATGTGCAAGAATTCTGGGAACATCACACGGACTCCAATGTTCTTTTCCTCAAGTATGAAGATATGCACAAGGTAAACCAGATATTATAAAGAATTTTCTATTGCCTGATATTGATCGTGACTCAGATTCATCAAATTGGGAGTCTAAAGTCAGACTCCTGAGTCCATACTTGAACTCCCAAACGTGTGGCCTAATTTTTCAAACCATTGATCACCAGCAGCGTCCACCGACTTTCATGTAAGCTGTGAAGTTTCTCAGCACTTTTTGAAAATCAGGTAATTTATTTAAGAGCCTTAATAAGGATTTAAGGCCAGATCCACAAAGCTACTTATGCGCTTAAATACCAGATGTAGATATCTAAGTCACGGGTTTAGGCACCAAAGTCTCAGTTTGGGCTCCATTTCGATCCACAAAACTCACACCAGGCCTTGCAGGCACCTCAGGTTTCCTAGGCATCTATGTTTCTTCCCCTGGCATTTGCTGGTTTTCCAACATTTGAGTCTGGGGGATTCAACTTTCACACTCAGGAAGGGCAAACAAGCCGCACAGGATGCTATTTTCCAGTTGCAGCCTTAACTCCACTTCAACACATTTTTTGCATTCGTATATTTAATCTTGAAGTCTATTGACTTTTACTTGTTTTTAAATATTTTCTTACAGGACCTTGCAACAATGGTTGAGCAGTTGGTGAGATTCTTGGGAGTTTCTTATGACAAAGCACAGCTGGAATCCATGGTGGAACATTGCCACCAACTCATTGATCAGTGCTGTAATGCAGAAGCCCTTCCAGTTGGCAGGGGTATGTGTCATATACACAGCAACTTCTTCAAGTGGGTGTCGCAAAAGGATAAGTGATGGATTGATAACGTACAGGATGTGTTAGCAAATTATTGTCTTAAATTCAATCTACACTAAAATGTTATTGAAACATCAGAGGGAAAATTATCATTAGTCTGATAGGAACTTTGACTGTTTAGTATTGGGACAAAGAAGGAGTGAATGTGATTTAAAAGAAAATAAAAACATCCAGGATGAACATTGCATATTTACAAATATTTTAACGGTATTGGGCCAACTTCAGCATTGGTGCAAGTGGGTGCAACACCACTGACTTTAAATGTGTTGTCTCTGCTTATATAAGTGATAAATTTGGCCCTAAAAGAGGTATTTGATTGAAAAAAAACCCAACAACCAAAACAACCTGGTTGTAAGAAGAAGATGAATATCTAGCATCAGCAAAGATAACCACTACATTTTAAGGCCAGAAGGGACCATTAGATTAGATCATCTAGTCTGACCTCTGGTATAACACAGGCCATAGAATTTCACCCAGTTACTGCTGCATTGAGCCCAATAACTAGTGTTTGACTAAAGCAGGGGTCGGCAACCTTTCAGAAGTGGTGTGCTGAGTCTTCAATTATTCACTCTAATTTAAGGTTTTGCATGCCAGTAATACATTTTAACGTTTTTAGAAGGTCTCTTTCTATAAGTCTATAATATATAACTAAACTATTGTTGTATGTAAAGTAAATACGTTTTTTAAAATGTTTAAGAAGCTTCATTTAAAATAAAATTAAAATGCAGAGCCCCCCGGACCAGTGGCCAGGACCCGGGCAGTGTGAGTGCCACTGAAAATCAGCTTGCGTGCCACCTTTGGCACGCGTGCCATAGGTTGCCTACCCTTGGACTAAAGCATCTCTTCCAGAATGGCATGACATCTTGATTTGAAGACAACAAGAGATGGAGAATCTATCGTTTTCCTTGGTAGTTTATTCCAATGGGTAATCACCCTCCCTGTAAAAAATTTCTAATTTGAATTTGTCAGGCTTCAGCTTCCAACCATCGGTTCTTGTTATAACTTTATCTGCTAGATCAGTGGTCACCAACCGGTTGATGGCGATCGACTGGTCGATCCTAGAGGGTCTCCCAGTCGATCGTGATCTCCGGTGGCACAGTGTGGCTGCCGCTAAGGCAGACTCCCTGCCTACCCCAGCTTCATGCCACTCCCGGAAGCAGCCAGTGCAGTCCCGCAGCCCCCGGGGGAGGGCAGGGCTCTCCCTCCATGTGCTGCTCCTGCCTGCAGGCACCACGCCCACAGCTCCCATTGGCCAGGAGAGCTGCGGGAGCGGTGCTTGCAGGGAGAGGCAGCGTGTGGAGCCACATGCCTCCCCCAGGGGCTGCAGGGGTGCGTTGGCCCCTTCCTGGAGCAGTGTGGGGCTGCCTTAGCCTCGCTGCACCCGCCATCGACCGGGAGCTGCCAGAGGTAAGTGCTGCCCAGTGTGAGGCCGCACCCCAGCCCCCTCCCAAAGCCAGCACCCCATACCTCCTCCTGCAGCCTGAACCCCCTCCTGCACCCCAAGCCCCACCCTGCGCCCCTTTCCAGAGCCAGGACCCCAAGCCCCCTCCTGCACTCCAACTCCCAGGCCTGAGCCCCCTCCCAGAGCCAGCACCCCATACCTCCTTCTGCACCCTGAATCTCCTCCTGCACCCCAAGGCCCAGCCCTGACTCCCCTCCCAGAGCAAGCACCCTATACCCCCTCCTGAACCCCAACACTCTGCCCCAGCCCAGAGCCCCCTCCCAGAGCCAGCACCCCATACCTGCTGCTGACAGAGTGAGCAGGGTGGGGCTTTGGGGAAGGGGCAGGGTAAATCCTCAGTTGCCCTTAGATTCAAAAAGTGATCTTGAGCATAAAAAGGTTGGAGACCACTGTGCTAGATTAAACTGCTCTGTAGTACCTGGTGTTTTCTCCCTGTGACAGTACTTACACACACAAATCAATTTACCTTTCAATCTTCTTTTTGAGAAGCTAAGGAGTTTGAGTTCTTTAAATCTCTGTAAGTATTTTCTCCAGCCCTCAAACCACTTTTGTGGCGCTTTCTTCACCCTTTACAATCTTTCAACATCCTTGTAAAAACATGGACACCAGAACTGTAAACAGGATCCCAATATTGGTCTCACCTTCTTACTCCTACTCCCCTGTTTATACATCCAAGGATAGCATTAGCCCTTTTTGCCACAACAGCACACGGGGAACTCACGGTATTTATCCATTATGACTCCTAAATACTTTTCAGAGTTGCTGCTTCCCAGGATACTGATCTCCATTCTGTAGGTACAGCCTGCATTCCTTGTTCCTGTATGTGTGATCTTGCATTTTGTTTGAATGGGCCCAGGTTACCAAGTGATACAGATTACTCTGTACAATTATCTGTCCTCATCATTATTTACCACTCTGCAATCTTTGTATCAGCCACAATTTTTATAAGCAGTGATTATATTTTTACTTCCCAATCATTGATAAAAATACTGAACAGCATTGGGCTTAGTATGATCCCTGCAGAATCTCACTAGAAGCATCCCTATTCAATAATGGTTTGCCATTGACAATGACTTTTTGAGCTCTGTCAGTTAGCCTGTTCTTAGTCCATTTCTTGTACGCTCTACGGATAGTGCATAGTGCTATTTTTTTTACCAGAATGTTGTGTCATACTAAGTCAAATGCCTTACAAAAGTGTAAGTATATTACATCTACATGGTTACCTTTATCAACCAAACATGTAGTCTCATCATAGAATGAAAACAGGCTTGTCTGACAGGATCTGTTTTCCATAAATTCATGCTGACTGGCATTAATTCCCCTCCTTTAGTTCTGTATTGACTGAATCCTGTATCAGCTTTTTCCATGATTTTGCTCAGGACTGACATCAGGCTAACTACAATCACCTAGATCATCCCACTGGCCTTTTTTGAATATTAGCATGACATTAGCACGTGATCAATCTTCATAAGGCAGCTCCTTATTTTCATCTGAAAAATCTGTTACTCTGCAAGCCTGGCATGGAAAGACACCCTATATACTTTAGAGAGGCAGTGCAGTTATTTGAGTAGCAGACTGGGAATCAGAGTTCCTGAGATCCATTCCCTACTTTGTATTTAACTTGCTCAGTGAGTTTGAGCCTTTATGTGCCTCCGTTCACCTATCTGAAAACAGGTATAATAATAATTTTCACTAACCTCATAGACTGTGTGTTCACTGGCAAAAAAGGGGCATTCTTAGCTCAAGTTAAGTAACAAGGTAAAATCCTAGTGAAAACAAAGCAGTTCGTAGTTTTCACATGAGTTAGCAGGTCGAGTTAAAGGACTCCCCCCACCCCCTCACTCCCAGTTTCTGTCTTTGTCAGCAGTATAGCTCACTGCAAAAAATACACAGGGCTAGATCCACGAAAGAGACTTCGGCTTAGCATTGCTATGCCTTACTTTAGTCACCCTGCCACCTAATGCAATCCTTATCCCTGACATAGGTACACAAGCTCCCTATACAGTGCATGGGGACTGTTAGGTGCCTAAGAATGGGAGTCACAAAAGCCAGCGTATTGTGAGGAGCCACCTAAACTAGCCAATAGGAAATGGCAAAAGAAGGGTGTGGTCTAAACCCTGCTCCTCAAAGGGAGTTAGGAGCCTAACTTCCGCTTGGGATTTACAGCTGTGACCTCTCTCCTGGAGGGAAAACACAGCGGAGATACCATCAATTCTTCTGCCAGTTCCTGTACTGCCTTTTAGTACAATAGGATAGTTAAGTTAGAATTTGGCCTGGCCATTCAGTTTTCCCGGGGGGGAGGGGAGAGAGAGACAAAGGCAGCTGTACCTTCCTTTTAATCCCAATCGATGGCTCAACTGCTCAGCAGGGGCAAGGGATGGGTCCCTGGCATTGGTGCTGCTGCTTCCTCACTCCCTGACTAGCTCTTATGGAGAGTGATTTTGCTGGCCTTTTGAATGGCAGTTGTGAGGAAAGAGAGACGGGCTGTGGTGAGAACACCACGACCTGGCACTCCTCAGTTGGAAGGCACAGTAGCTTCTCTGTAAACCAGCCTGTCTGCATGGCATCCAGAACAGGTGTAGGGTGATGGTCTGTCTTTTGTGTTCCTACTCTGTTGCTGTTATTATTATCTATTGCTTTACATTACAGCCTAGAAGCCCCAGTCAGGGATCAGTACCCATTTATGCTAGGTACTGTACATAAGCTCTTATTTTGTGGTAGAGGAGGGAGCTACAGTAGTCAACTAAATACCTGTTCATTTATTTGCTGTCTGCTTTTTATTGAAATTCCTTATTTTGAATTCATTTTGATTGCTGTTTTTGGCTTTTGCAATGTTTTGTTCCTTCAAAATGCAACTTCATTAATGGCAGTTTTGTCCTCTGTTCATTTATGTGATCTAGCATGGTAGCAATAACATCACATTCTCCTGGGGGAATTCTGCACCAAAAAATAAAAATTCTGTGCACAATATTTTAAAATTCTGCAAATTTTATTTGTCAAAATAACACTGCATAATCATGCCAGTTTCTATTATTTTGGTAATTTATTTCAAAATACCTGCCAGTAAGTATGTCTGTAACAATACAGACACACACAAAAATTCCCCCAGGAATAGAGCTAAAGAAACCCCTATGATAACCCAGTACCTGTTTCTCTGCACCCCGCCCCAGCTCAGCCCAACCCCCTGCCCCCTAAGAGACCAGCTGTAGCCCCCCCCAGCCAATAAACCTGAACCCCCTACCCCCCAGAGCCCAGCCACAGGGTACTACAGCCCAGATAACCGCACCCCCTCCCTGCCAGAGCCCAGATACCCGCACTTCCTCCCCCACTGAGCCCAGCTTTGGGGCACCCCCTTGCCCAGAGGCTTTCCCCCCCTCCAGCCCAGACACCTACCCTCCTACCCTTCAGAGCCCAGGGATCCAGAAGGAGAAACAGCCTGATTCTCGGTCCCAGGCTTGTGTGAAGTTTCCTGCGCGCCGCTGTCTCCTTCCCTCAAGGCGTGCTGGAAACTGCATCTGCCAGGAACCCTCTAGACACGCCTGTCCTCCTCCTCCCCCTCCTCCCCCCCCCCCCCCGCCAGGAGAGTAACCACATCAGGTCTCCTGTGTGTGTTGCAGAATTCCCCCAGGAGTAACCACAGTTTACTGTAATTTGTTCCAAATATTTTTAATTTATCAACTATGTTTACCTTATTATTTTGCTTTATTTTGGTTCTTTAATTTTTTTTCTTTTAGCACATTGATCTTTACTCTGAAGAAGCCCTGAGCTGCTGTGAAAGCAGAGCATTTTGATTAGCTATATTACTTATTTTTGCTTCATATCACATCATAAATTACACAGTTGCATGATTCAAATGATAAACCAGGTGGGTAACTTTTTGACAAGCTATCAGTCTATATGGTTGAGAAACAGATGCTAGTAAAACACACTATAGTACATTCCATTTATAAAACTTGTAATTTGTACCTAAGGTATCATTAGAGAGATTCAGGAATAACAAGGTTCTTCAATTTTCTTTTTGAGACAAAGGAAGAATCCTTTTTTATTACCTAAAGGATAATGTATGATTTTATGTTGCACAGTGTACTGTATTTGTCCCATATCTGTTGCTAGAGCACAAGTGAAATCAATACCTGACTTTTGTGGCTGCAAGAATTTTTTTATTAATAGTGCTCACTACCCTGTTTGACACAGGAAAGCCAGTACCAGGATTTATTTGTCAAAAACTGTCAGATTAAGCATTTTCAGTCAATTTCAAAGCCTTCATCTTTGGGGATTTTTAAAAAAACCCTCTAGTAGTTAATTATATCTTCCGGGGTACTGGGAAAATTATTATTTCGCAGAATGACACTTGTCATGTGTAATAACTAATTTAACTTCAAGTCACTGTGCAGTTGGTGGGACACACATTGCAAACTTTTTGACAGCACTCACATATAATTATGTCCTTGGACCCAATTATGTAGCTACCATATATGAGCAACTTTCATTACATTAACCAGGAGTTTCTCATATGCATCAAATGCATAATCTGGTCTCCTGTGTGTAATTTTTGGTCTTGTTAATGTGATTAAGTTCTGTGATAGCATAGTCCTGACTCTCCTCCCTGTTACAGCAGTGTAACGCCCTTGATTTTAATAGAGCTAATCTTCACTTAAAACTCTGTAAGTGAGAGGAGAATTAATCTAAGGCCCAACGCAGTGGATTAATTATATAATACATATAATTATATAATTAATATTTCAACATGGTGTTCCTCCAGTTGATTTTGACTCAGTTAAAGTGGCATAAAACCAGAAGGACACAGTGGTGAATGAGGCCCAGAGTGTTTTACTGGCAACTTTGACGTTGTTTTCGGGTCATTTTATTAGTTGGTTTCAGTAGGAAAGTAAAAATATTTTATACAAGGAGCCAAATTTTCAAACATGGATGGCTAAATTATACCCACAGAAAATGTGCATATACTCATTATGCATGTACGATTCATGTTTATATGCACAAACTGAGTACCTGAATGCACCTTTTTGTAGGCATAATTTAGGTATTCACTCCTCTTTGAGAAATTGCCTCATTATATTTGTACAATCATAAACACCTTTTATACATCTCCTGAACATAAAATAAAGGCATTCAATGATCTTTAGTGTTATTTTATTCTCTTTTGGGTGTATCCTTCCACCAATGCGTGATGAAGTTTCAACAACCATGTAAATACATCCCTGACTCAAAAGGGGATAATTAAACTACCATCGTTTGCAGTGAGATCTGAAATCCACAAAATTAAGTTACAGTAGAACCTCTATTTTATGAACACCAATCTTATGAACTACCAATTATAAGAACCATTTTTCCTGACAGGGAAAAAAAAATCACGTAATAAAAGTGGTGTTGATGAAAAACAGTGAACATCCTTTCACATTTCACTGTCTTCAGTGCATTGGAAATCCCTTTGTAGTGGTTTAAAGGACAAAGAGAAAGTGAGGCCGTGAACATTACTGCAATGTGTGCACCGGACCTACTGTAATTTTGAGATGTTCAATTATGAACTCTTCAATCTCCAATTAGTTCTTAAAATTGGGGTTCTAATGTAATAATATTCAAAAGAAATGTGGTACCTATTATTATTATTTAAAGATATAGGGCCAACTCCTTCAAGGGGATGAATGCTTCTGGAATGAAATTCATCCCTGTGCAGATGACCAGCACAAGGAATGTGGCACCTATTTTGAGGGCTTCAAAGGGATTTATTGGGGTGTATAAATGAATCACACCTCCTGCAGAGGCTAAGCACCCCAAGTCTCATTGAAGTAAAAGTGTGTAGAGGTTGATCTGCAGTTGACAGGAGGTGCCTGGTACCCCATCTGATCAGACACATAATTTTAGAAAAGTCAGTGTTCTGTCATGTCACCAGTCTGACTTGTGCTCTTTCTCTGTATTTCAGGACGAGTTGGGCTATGGAAAGACATCTTCACTGTGTCAATGAATGAGAAATTTGATTTAGTTTATAAGCAGAAGATGGGAAAGTGTGACCTCACATTTGACTTTTATTTATAAAAAAATGCATGCATACAATATCCAAATATTAGCTAGAAGTGCTTTATGCATTCGTTTATTACCTGCTGGACAAACTGCTGTAGTTATTATGTGTAACATGACTTAAAAACAAACAAAATCTAAGTAAACCATAGGAAACACTATTATTCTTGATCCTAAACAGCTGTTTATCCTTCAACATTTTAATCTTTTGTCAACATGCAAGAATTTCATAGATAATACAAGAATACTCAGCTGTTATGGAATGTATTATATAAGTATAAGGTATGTATCATATATGCAACTAGAATGTACACTTTTTCAGCCCCACATTGATTATTTAATGTATTTTATAGAAGCTTTTCACTGGAAACCTAAATAAAATTCAGTAAACCAAATAAAAAATTATTTCAGAAGGAAATCAGTAAAAAGCCAAACCAAACTGTATGCTAGAATGATCTCAGGGGTTAGCTGTCACATTTATTTTTATAGTTGGAATGTCAAGAACAAAACAATCGTATCCCAAATTAATAAGGATAAAGATGGGGGTTTCCTTTAATTTCCACACTTCCATTGTTTGTATAATTTCTGAGTGGATACCGTTCGCTGGCATACTTTGCAAGACAAACATAACTGTGGTTGTCACTCCGCGCACACATGCTCTTATGTCTGATAAGAAGTGGCTGTATTCAGAGTGAATGAAATTCATCCCTGTGAAGAGGACGGGCTATCACAAGGGCCTGTTCACTCACTTAAGTCTCAGTCAAGCCCTCAGCATAGGGTGTAAGTGAGTTGTAAGTGGTGCACAGGGGTTGTGCTGGGCCTATGGTTAGGAGTCAGTTTCTCCCAAGGTTTCTGTGATACGAGCTGGTCTTCCGCACAGGTCTGAGTTTCACCCATTGAGAATGATCCTCTTTGGTAACGAGCGCTTTCTGCTGGATTGTGAGCACCCTCAAGTTTCACTGAAATCACGGATGTTGAGGGAACTTAGTATTTTTGGCACTTTTACAGCCGTTCAGACATAAGCTGAAGATGGATGTACATGCTGGTACAAATACATAAATGAACTAGCAGGTCTTGAAGAAGAGATTTTAAGGATGCTCCAGCAGATGGGAGTATTACACAAGCGATGGTATTTATGCAGAATACAGTTGCAGTAATTGACTGTCAGCCATTAATAGTCTGATTTATAAGCAGGATTCGAGTTTATTTTTTCTAAGTCTTTTTATTTTCCTGATTTGCCTGTGGGTAGTTACATACTTAACCTGGTGCAGGCTACCATAACAATGAGATTCTACAGAATTATTGTACCTTTGATCCTTCAGTTAATTACATCTATATTTTTAGGTTCTCAGCTGCAGGAGGCCCGTTTTGCTAGCCCTATAGTATATCTCACCAAAAGCTGTGAGGAAGGACTAGCAGATTTTAGTATTTTGCTTCTGTCGGAAAATAACCTGTCAATGCAGGAATTGGCAAGTGGTGTGGCATGATGTGGCTTGACAGCACCTTTCCTTGTATATTTGTGAGTGAAACAGCTTTCAGTGAAATTTTATTTCTATTTTTATATTTTTAGTACTGTATGACTATTAAGCACTACACATTATAGTTCTGTGCTTGCTTGCCTATTTAATAAAGACATGTTCCATGCATGGAGGTTTGGTCATTTGTTTCATTAACATATGCAGGCTGAAAAGTGTCTTCTTTTTGAGTTCATTTTGTCCTTGTCAAGTATCAAAAGGCCAGATGCGCACACAAAATAGCTCCTGCATGTTATAGTTTTGCCTTCAGGACTGGGAACAAGGTGAGTCACTCATGACTACTCCTCCTCTTGCCTACATCATGACCCTTTCTCCCCTTATTGGTTGAAATTCTTCCTTGTGCAGAGAGCTAGTTCAAGGCTCATGCCCACCTAAGTCTCACCTAAGCTCTGGTTTAAGGAATTGGGGCTAAATCCACAAAGGGACTTAGGCATTACATTGCTCAGTGTTGCAATGCCTAACAGTAAGGCACCTTGCCACATAGTGGAATTCACAGCCCTGAGTTAGGTGTACAATTCATGTGATGAAACATGCACCTGAGAATGGGAAACACAAAAGCCAGCAAGCTGTGCCAGAACTAGCCAATAGCGAATACTGAGAGGGGTGGGGGCTAAACTTCACCCTTCTCAGGGATGTAGGCATCTAAGTTTGGGCTGGATGGAGGCACCTGTCACCATTTGGGATTCTCAGCCACAAACCCTCTCCTGGAGTTAGGCACCTAAAGCATTTCTTGCAAGAAATGCAGCAGCACATGCCTAATGGCTAAGGTTAAGATTTTGTCATGGAGATGATGGATTCAGTGACTTTCCAAGACCTCCATCACATTTTCAGCTTCAACCCCATGCCCTGGGGTGGCGGGGCTGGAGTTGTCAGCCACTGGGGGCTGTGGGGCCCTGGAGCTCCGAGCCACTGGTCCCTGAGCTCTGAACCACAACAGACAGCAGGGGCTAGAGCTGTCAGTCTTAAGCTAATGCCAAATAAAATGCCAAAATCTTAATCTAATGCCATATAAAATGGTGACAGACTGGAGGTGCCACTTCCTAACCCCTTCTAACTGTTAGCCCTATGGTTTTTGCTCTCAGCTGGGCTACAGAAGACTAGTGTTCAATTCCCCCTTCTGCCTTATGTAAGGAAGTAATTTGAACTTGGGTTTCCCACCTCTCAGGTGAATACCCTGACCCCTGGACTGTAGAGTGAGACTCACTCTCCGACCTGATGCATATTTAATTATTGATATCCATGGAACAGCTTCAGCATGACAGTTAGAGACAGATTCACCCCAGAGTCCTTCTGTGGGTCAGACCTGATCCAAATGGGTACATTACATAGGCCTTGTGGTGGCCCTCTGAATTTTTCCCCATAGAGAATGCCTTACTGAGATGACTATAATAAAAATCACTGAAAACACAACAGAGAGAAGGAAGGAGGAGGGGACATTAGAAAATTCATATGAAATGTTCTTGACAATCACTAAATAATTAAAATTTTATCTTTTTCTGTTGAAATAACATTTTACTAGCATGGAATAGCAATTGGAACTCAGTTTTGATGAGTTTTGTTGTAGCTAATTACTCAGCTCAGATGCCATTTAATGCCAGGATTCTGCAGAATACAAGAGGAAGAGCTGGATGGCACACACTGTTAATTGCAATGAAATTAAAAATGGGCTGTTAACACACACAGAGGCTACTGTGCTTGTGACCCATGCCCTATGAGGTGCTGAACACAATGAGAACTGAAGGCACTCCACATTTCATAGAACCAGTCCCTTGATGTGCAGACATGCATTAGGTATTACTCCCACAGGCCTTGATTCATCCAGATATAGTTCTCAAAGAGAGAAGGCTCAAGTAGAAGAGAAAGCACGACAAGCATGGATTCATGGTTAGTAGGGGTGAAGGCTCTGGGTTCCATTCCCAGCTGTCGCAGGGGGCCATGACAAACGGATGGAACTTGGAGCCACCCTGAGGCAGCTTTAACTTCTGGCAGGGATTGAGGCAGCCCCCAGAGAGCTGCCAGGGGCTGTGCTGCTCCAGCACACCTGAGGATCCAGCCCTCTTCATCTAACCCTGCTCACAACAGGTTTAATCAATAGGGTGTTTAAACTGCCAGCAGCCTGCCTAAACTAGAGCGCCCAACAGTGCTAACATCCTGGATCCGAGAGCATATTAGCACTGGTGAGAAATTTGGCAAAATGTTCCTTGTGTAGGAAAGGCTTACAGGGCCAGGGAGTGCACTTTGTTCAGTAGTAGGAAGACAGAAAAGGAAGCTAGTGAGAAATCACTAAATATTCTTAACTCTAATGATCCGCAGCCTTTTTTGTGGGCTAATAATATGCGCGAGGTTACGGGAGCTCAATAGTTCAGACTATAATGATAAAGATTTATATGCTTGGCTCATTATTATCATCAACCACTCAGATGCTTCCCTCATCCGCACCAATGTTAAAAATAGCTCCACTTAGTAGCCATAAGTAAAGATTTTGGAGGAAGGCTTTAAATAATAGCCCTACCCTCTCTGCTGAAAGGGGAAAGGCTAAAAAAAGACACATCAGCGTTTCAAACAAAAAACCCAACAGTGACCATTAATGTAAAAGGAAGTGCTCAGATATCATGAGACGTCCGCTGTTGCTGGGGGACACAGAGCAGAGATGTTATAAATAGTAGTACTGCACTCTTCACTCTTGTACTTTCTCCTACTCAATAATCCACCCAATTGCTTTAATGTAGACTGCATAGACTGGTGACCTCTAGTGGTCAAATCACAAGTGTACACAGATGTAAGGTACTATTCACTTGATGCAACGTAGATGATGCAAAGCAAAAGGCACACAACTAACTTCACATACTGGAAGAAAGGACATCTGGATATGCTGGTGGTATATTAGCGGACAAGGAAGAGGGAGTTTATGAAAGGAGGCTCTTTCATTTAAGAATGAGAGAATCTCTATATCACAGCGTGCCTGGCCCCTGTAAATGAAGCAGATCCAGTGCCACTGTACCAGACCAAGGGCTCTCATTCAGCCAACTAAGAGGGCAGGGCGTCTGAGAGGGAGAGAGACCTGGTAAATCATCTGCATGAGTCAGCGTTGAAAAGGGAGGGGGCAGGTGCATGGGTGACTGACCATTACCAGAGCCAGGAGATAGTATCTGATTAATGGGGGAAGGGGGAAGACAGGAGAACAGCAAGAGGAATTTAGTGTCAGGTATCCCTAAGCCAGAGTGCCAGGCCTGGACAGGAGGAGTTGCCTGCTGATTTTTAAGCCAGAGCCCAGGGCTGGAGATGGCTGAAGGCAGGGGAGCAGTGGAAGGGTTTATCTTCTGACTTCTCCACACCGGCAAACTAGAACCAGGGGAACACTGAGGGGGCCAGGAGGAGAGAGGGATGCGCCCCTAGTGAGGATGATCTCTTAGCAGAGAGGCTGGGAAGAAAGGTGCTGCACTCCAGCTGGAAGGGCTGGGATAGCTATCCTGGCAGAAGACGGACAAAAAGTCTGCCTGTGGCAGAAGGTGCCAGTGTGTGATTTGTGGGGTGTTGAGGGATGAAATATCTTGCAATTTTAATGACTACTTATGTTGAGAGTGACAAATGGACTATGTGTTGGGACTTACATTTTGAACCACTTGTGGAATGTTTCTGTAATAAAACAGCCCCAAGGCGGCATACTGTGGAGGCGAGAGTCTGACGTAGAGACCTTGGGTTACCTCAGTGGGAAAACTGAGGCAGGTGCACCTGGTGTATCATAGCTGGCTGCAGGAAGGTGCTCTGGGTGGGCCCACAGGATGACACTCCTGCAGAATTGTGTCCTCAGGTGTGCAAGGTTTGGCCACATTTAAAGTGAGGAGTATGTGATGGGTCCCCCCAGGGGTGCCATCTGTAACTGGGGTACAGCTGAGCCCTCTGTCTTACCAATCTGGGTTCCCTCTCACAGTGTGACATTGTGAAAAGCTGCAAAGCCCTCCAAGCTTGCACTCATACCAACATCCACAGGCAGGGACCCACCCAGCTGTGTTCATGAATGTTCTGCCAGCCACTGCATGAACCAACAATAAAGAGGCTCCAGCCAAAATACCCCCAGCCTAACACCCCAGAGCTGTACCGTCCTGCCCCAGTCAAAAGCTCTATTAGTATGAATTTATTACCCAGTTATTGCCCTTCCCTCAATGTGGAGAGGAATATGCACAAAGCCTTTGTTAACTGAACTGAGATTTTCCCCCCAACACTTCACTCAAAACACACTGTTTTAGGAAAAAATATAAAATAGATTTATTAACTACAGAAAGTTAGATTTGAAGTGATTAGAAGTGATAGCAAATAGATCACAGTAGATTACCTAGCAAATAAACAAAACACAATATAAGCCTAATATAGTACACAGGATTTGAATCAAACAGTGTCTCGCCCTGTTAGATGGTACAAGCAGTTTGTAGATGTTTTATACACAGGCAAGAATCCTCTTTTCCAGCCTGGAACCAGCACTTCCTAAGGTGGTGAGTTGTAGAGGGAGTGAGGCCCCTTGGTAATGTCACTTTCCCCTATTATAGGTTCTTCCATATTGCAGGAACCCCTTTGTTTCAAGCCAAGCTCCCAGCCCAGTTTATGGAAAAATGGAGTTCAGTATCATGTAGTCTCGTCACATGCCCTCGCAGCATGCTTGATGAGTCATGATAGCCATTATCTATAGGCTGTCTGAAGCTTCCCCAGGTGAGGACAAGCCTTTTCCATGGCCCACTGTCTTTGCTGATGGTCCATTCAACTTGCATAGGCCATTCATGATGTGCTGGCTAGCCTGAATGCAAACGAATTTTTGGGTGTTACCCAGGAGTAAACAAATTTGAAATGCAGGTACATAGTCAATATTCATAACTCTAGATACAAAAATTATACATTCATACAAATAGGATAATCATATTCAGAAAACCATAACTTTTCCATAAGTACCTCACATGACATGTCTAGTACAAGATGCAACATAATTATATCCTAATCATACCATAATCATATTTACTATGGTGAATATGGGGTGCAGAGGGTCACAGGGTAATGTTCATTTTACCAACAGTGAGAAGGGGCTGTCAGGATACTCACCTAATCTTTTTTCCAATAGGGGA